ACATTGTAAATCAACTATACTTCAATAAATAAAATTTTAAAAAAGACCCCAAAAATGATTGGGTCTAAGTGCTCATATACTAGGTCGAACTAGTTTCCCTGGTTGCTCAGATGGTAAAGAATTCGTCTGCAATGCAGGAGACCTGGGTTCGGTCCCTGGGTTGTGAAGATCCCCTGGAGGAGGGCATGGCAACCCACTCTAGTAATCTTGCCTGGAGAATCCCCATGGACAGAGGAGCCTGGTGGGCTATGGTCCAAAGAGTGGGACACAACAGAGCGACTCAGCACAGCACTAGGTTGAACAGAGAGTGGTAATTGTGGAAAGGTAACTAAAGTATATGGGGCTGCTCAAGGAAGATAAGGGCTGTTTGAACAAGGTGTGTTTGTACTGATTTCTCTTGGCACCGTCTCCCTGTCTGTGGAGATAAGAACATTTCTTTCTTCTTGGTACAGAGAGCGCATCTTTCACAAGGGAGTTTTGTCTTCTGCTTTTAAGAAGGAAAAAGGAAGTCAGGGCGTCTTCTTGCATTTGCTGTTTTTACAGTATCTCTAACTCAAAATAATCTTATGTCAAACTGGCTCCTTTGGGCATATTCTGCTGCCTTTTACCATCCAGCTAGTTAGGAGTAGAACAAGAACTGGAAGTTGGTCCTCCTCGCTTCTGGTCTGTGGTTATTTGACTACATCTCAGTTTCCTTCTCATGACAAGCACTCACCCGGGGTGACTGTTTCCTTGGTGGTCTAGGAAGCACCAGGCCCTATGCTCCAGGCCTCTGGGGTTTCTCTGATACATTGTATTACTCTTTTTCTGCAGATGAGGACTCAGGGTCAGAGCGGCTCTGGGGATTAGTAACCCCTCACGTGGGTGTGTGCTAAATCCCTTCAGTCACGCCCAGCTCTTCCTGACAGAGTTAATAACACTGTATCCAACCAGTCCATCCTAAAGGAGATCAGTCCTGAATATTCATTGGAAGGACTGATGCTGCAACTGAAGCTCCAATACTTTGGTCACCTGATGCGAAGAGCTGACTCATTTGAAAAGACCCTGATGCTGGGAAAGATTGAAGGCTGGAGGAGAAGGGGACGACAGAGGATGAGATGGTTGGATGGCATCACCGACTCAAAGGACAAGAGTTTGAGTAAACTCCGGGAGTAGGTGATGGACAGGGAGGCCTGGCGTGCTGCAGTCCATGGGGGTCACAGAGTCACAAAGACATGACTGAGCAACCGAACTGACTGACTGTATATTTGAAAGTTTGTAAGGGGAGATCTTTAAAATTCTCATCACAAGAAATCATTATTTAACTATGTGCGGTAACGGTTGTTAACTAGACTTACTATGGCGGTCATTCTGCAGTACATACAAATATCAAATCACAGTGTTCTACACCTGAAACTAATATGTTATATGTCAGTTTCATCTCAGTTGGAGGGAAAAAAAATGAATTCAAGCTCAGGTCTCTGAAAGTGAAAGTCTTAGTTGCTCAGTCATGTCTGACTCTTTGCAACTCCATGAATTGTAGTCTGCTAGGTTCCTCTTTCCATGGAATTCTCCAGCAAGAATACTGGAGCGGGTTGTCATTTCCTTCTCCAGGGGCTCTTCCCGACCCAGGGATTGAACCTCGGCCTCCTGCATTACAGGCAGATTTTTTACCGTCTAAGTGGGAATCCCACTTCTGGTCTCTGAGTCCAGTGCTATTTCTGCTACTCTACTAGGCTGGAGTCTTTGGCAGTACTTTATTATTTTTCATGGGTTATACTTATTTTTACTTCTTCACTATATGTTGGGAATAAATGAGACACACACTTTTTTATTTTTACCGAGAGCATTCTTTCCTTTCGGCCTCAGTCTGTGGTTTCCCACTCAGACTCGATTATTTCCCCTCAGTTTTGACCTCCTAGGTTCTAGAAAGGCTTGAGAGGTGTTTGCAATCTGAACGCAGGCATATTGCTGTCTCTGCTGCTGCCAGTGAGTGTTAGGGCTGGGTGGGACCTGAGACAGAGTCTGATTTCACCCCTTCTCTTTACAGATGAGAAAACTGCATCCTTAGATGCTGTGGAGACCTGCAGGGAAGGTGAGTATGAGGACCCTGGCATGCTCTAACCTTCATCCACTCCATCAACAGTCCTTGAGTGGTGGGGAGAAGGGGAGGGTGGGATGAATTGGGAGGGTAGAACTGACATATATACACTACTGTGTGTAAAGCAGACAGCTAGTGGGAAGCTTCTGTGTGGCATGGGGAACTCAGCTTGGTGCTCTATGATGGCCAGAAGGGTGGAACGGGGGTAGGTGGGAGGGAGATCTAAGAGGGAGGGGCTACGTATACTACATATAACTGATTTGCTTCCTAGTACAGCTGAAACTAACACAATGTTGTAAGGCAATTATCCTCTAATAAAAAAAATAATAAAATGTGTAATTTGGGGTTGATTAAAAAAGAAAAAAAAGGAAAAAACCATTGCAGTTCTTATCTCATTCCTGGGTAAAGATGTGGCACCCAGGACTTCCCCAGGGGTTCAGCAGTTAAGACTTCTTGCTTCCAATACAGGGGCACAGCTTCGATCCCTGGTTGGGGAACTAAGATCCCACATTCCATGTAGCACAACCAAAATAGATTTTTTAAAAAAATGTGGCACTCAAGTTCAGAGGAGTGTAAATCCTGAGGTTCTGGATTTGCTTGGATTAGCTGTGAAACAGCCTCCTTTCATGAGGAGATTACAAAGATTCCAGGTGTAATCTTTTCTATTAATGGACAAGGAAATAAGTTTAGTACTTTGAGGGGTCAAAAGTTCACAGAGATATGGCCAATCAGGGTCATTTTAGTTCAGGTGGATATAGATTCATCTTGGACTATATCTACACTCTACCAACACTACATACAAGGTCTTAGCAACATATGGTTGGGGTACGAAGCAGCTGAACAATGCCTTGTAAGAGTCCTTACGAATGAATGAATGAAGTCTGGTCTGGCCCCCACCAAGGGCTGGCCTCCCACTCAACTGCAGGCAGGCTAGGACATTGACAACTGATGGCCAGGGCACTGCTTTGGGGCAAAAGATGGGCAGAGAGTGAGGAGCATGGTGCGGGGCAGAGCTGAGAGGCAGGGCTGGAGTGAGAGTTGGGTCCGTCTGCCCACCTCGGGTCACCCCTGGGGGGCCTGGCAGGGCTGTGGGGAGGAAGGGATGCTTCATCATGTTTTCATGACATGTAGGAGCTGGGTTCCCATGTGTCAGCTCGAAGCAGTACAAGCGAAGGTGTTGGTGAGTGAGAAATGACACCACTGGGGCAGCAGGGGTCCCCAACCTCTGGGATCTAATGTCTGATGACCGAGGTAGAGCTGATGCAATAAAGTGCACAATAAATGTAATGCACTTGAATCATTCGGAAACCTCCCCCACAACACAAACACCCCAGGTCTGTGAAAAAACTGTCTTTCACAAAACCAGTCCCTGGTGCTAAAGGTTGGGGACTGCTTCTCTAAGCTCTACAGTCCAAATAAAACCTGCTGATTTTCCCTCTGGCTATGCGTAAGATGGGATAGGAGAGGTCCCGTCTTAGGGGCTGTTGTTAGCCCAGAGCCCAAATCAAATGTGCATTATGTGGTCATCATAAAGCATAAGGCACCCTTGAGGGACATTCAAACAGGGTTTAAGTATCAGGACAGGAACACCAATGAATTCATAATCATTTATTGTGAATCACTCATAGTTTACACATTATTAATGGCAAAAATAACACCGTTAAACACCTGCTGGATGAAGAACTTTATTATGACATTCCCTACCGGCGTCACTTCTTTTCAAAAATCTAAATTTAAATCCTACATCTTCCCTATCTTTGCAGCACTATCTTCGAAGTGCTCTGATGCCAAACTATAAGGCTCTCTTTTGCTCTAACATCTAACACAAAGGGCACGCTGTCCCATTAATTCGACATGCTCTTTACAAGGCAACTTAACACACAGATTATTTTTTTAAAATCCAGAGGCTACATAATGATCACTTTATGTCTTGCTGCAAAATCAATGAAGGCTGCATGCAGGTGAAACATTTGTAGACACTGAGTTCTAGATTAACTGTTGGTTATTCAGATCTGATGACCTGGTATGGAAAATTAATAGGCTTATTTAGCAGGAGTAGGTAAAGTACATGCATCAGTGGCTAGGATCAATTAGAATATAAATTAGGTGTCTAAACATTTAAATGAGAGCTTCATTTGAGCTTTGTTTGATGTCTGGCACTTCTGAGTTCTACACCTTAAAATGACAATAGCAAAGAGAACAAAATCAAACACTTAAAACAGGCACTGATTTATAGGCTCAGATGGACGGACAGCTCAGGACACAAAACCAGCTGAGCAGTGAACAGACCCCTTGAAGCAAAGAAAGTGGAACATTAACAAGCTGGAAACAGGGCAACAAAATAAGAGAGCCATTTCCTGTATTCTCATTTTTTAACATTTTCAATTTTCTTACTTTAAAACAGCAACAAACACACACAATAATTACAAAGCAGAAACATTCTTTTGTTACTACTTAGACCCTCTCTTTTGCCTTCTACCCTGCCTCTCTGCTCCTTCAGATAGTCTGTTTAAAAATAAGGTTGGGTTTAAAACAGATAGAGAAAACAAAGGCTCTCCTGAATCACACTGAAAGAATATGGAATTCCTTCATCCTGTCAGGGTTAACATCACGTACAAGTACAAGCACATGACGATGTATATTTGAATGACATGTTGTAGCTGTAGCGATTAAATCACATGTCTGCGTTCTAGTGTTAAAGCGTAGTTACACTGACTTTTAAAAAATTCTTTTCGTTGATAGTTTGTATCTTGACATTATTTTGAGACCAACGAAAAAAACCCCCAAACTGTGTGGATTCTGTTCTCTGCCCAGCTTGCGCCCCCTCCCACGATCCAATGAACAAGAGAAGTGTGGTAACAAAGGCCATGAACCGAGGCGTCGTTGACAGCGGGCGCAGATGAAGGGTCCAGAGTCAGGCGCTACCGTCTCCAGTCCGCGCTTTCCGGGCCTCGATCATCTGCTTGGTTGCCCGTTTGCGGTCAGTGGCTAGCCCCAGCCAACACATGAAGTCAATGAACCAGGTGGTTGGGTTGAAATTTAAGCCAAACGCAGAGTAGTCAAAGGGAAAGGTGTGATGGTAGTTATGGAAACCTTCACCTGGAAGACAAAGTAGGCTTGAAATAACACTGTCAGCACCTCTCTGCAGAGTTTTTAAAGCCAAGAGATTGCAAGACACTGTGTTAGGTTCCATGGGGTACAGAAAACCTACAGAAGGTCCCCTGTGTACAAACCTGCAAAGATGTGTTTTATGCCATCTGTTGTACTGTGCATATATTTCAAAGTACTGGACTGTAAGATAAGAGATGCTTTATTTTTTGTGTTTGCTTTTTATGTATGTATTATCTATGTGAAAAGTATTATAAACCTATTACAGTTCAGTACTATGTAGCCAATTGTGTTAGCTGGCTACCTAGGCTAACTTTGTTGGACTTCTGAACAAACTGGACTTCCGAACTTGCTCTCGGAACAGAACGTGTTTGTATGTAGGGGACTTACTGTACTTGCTGTCTGCCCTTCGGGAGCGTTCACTGAATTGGCTAGACAAATGATAGGAACAGAAAAATAATAATAAAGTTATCAGCATAAAGTCTCAAGATGAATTTTCCCTGTGAACTGGTGACATGCTCCCATGACTTTAGAGCTGTACTTTGGAAGCTAAATGCCAAATGGCTGATAACAGATCATCATTTTGATGTATGTTCATAAAAGAAAAATAAGCCTCAGTCGACTAAAAGGATTAAAGGAAGACTTCTTGGGAGAGCTCAGAAGAGATAAATGATAATCGACCCTATAAGCAAGTGAATTAAGGAGTTGGATCTTTAAATATCCAAAATCTGCCTAGATATTACTCTTCCCTTCACAGTGAGTAACTTTTCCTCCCTTACTTCCCCTCCCCCAGGGTGTTTTCAGGAGGAGTCTCACATCTTTTTTCATTTTTTTCAAACAGCTTTATTGAGATGTAATTCACCATACAATTCACCCATTTAAAGTATCCAAGTTAATGGCTTTCAGTATATTCGCAGAGTTGTGCAGGCATCCCCACAACAAACTTTATAACATTTTCACTACCTAAAAAGAAACCCCGCTCCCCAAGGATGGATGGATGTTGAGCCCCATCCATCCCCCCATCCTTCCAATCCTACTTTCTTTCTCTGTGATGGTTAATTTTACATGTTAATCTGACCGGCCAAGGAGTGCGCAGATTAACCCTTATTTCTGGGTGTCTGTGAAGGTGTTTCTGGATGAGATTAGCATTTGAAGCAGTGGAGTCAGTAAAGCAGATGGTCCTCCTCCATGTGAGTGGGCATCCGCCAGTCCCTTAAGGGCCGGGAGGAAGGAGAACTGCCCCCTGTTTTCCAGACACACTGACTGAATGTCTATTTCATCTTCTCCTGCCCTCAGGCTGGGATCTGCATCATCAGCTCCCCTAGTTCTCAGGCCTTTGTGAAAAGTGAAAGTGAAGTCGCTCAGTCGTGTCCGACTCTTTGTGACCCCATGGACTGTAGCCTACCAGGCTCCTCAGTCCATGGAATTTTCCAGGCAAGAGTACTGGAGTGGGTTGCCATTTCCTTCTCCAGGGGATCTTCCCAACCCAGGGATTGAACCTGGGCCTCCCACATTGCAGGCAGACACTTTACCGTCTAAGCCACCAGGGAAGCCAGTTCTCAGGCCTTTGTACTCAGATTTCATTATAAACTGGCTTTCCAGGGTCTCTTGCTTGCATATGTCAGACGGTGGGACTCAGCCTCCGTCACCTCACCAGCCAGTTCCTCATCATAAATCTCTCCTCCTTCCCCCGCCCTGTTCCCGTAAACACACACATACACACATACAGAAACAGAATACATCTACCTTTATATAGATATAGAGATCCTACTGTTTCTATATGGATATATATTGGGTTGGCCAAAAAGTTCAGTCAGGTTTCCATATGATCTTACAGAATATACCCAATATTTAGGTAGAAAGAGACTTATTATAAGCAATATTATATATATAATTGCATATATATATTCCAGTATCCCTGCCTGGGAAATTCCACAGACAGAGGAGCTAAGAGTTGGAGACAACTTAGCAACTAAACTACCGTGTATATATATATATATATATATATATATATATATATATATATATATATATATATACACTGTCTCTGACTCTTTGTGACCCCACGACCATAGCCCGTCAGGCTCCTCTGTCCATGGGATTTCCCAGGTAAGAATACTGGAGTGGGTTGCCATGCCCTCTTCCAGAGGATCTTCCCAACCCAGGGACTGAACCCAGGTCTCCCACACTGTGGGTGGATTCTTTGCAAACGAAGCCAGCAGGGAAGCCAAAGGATACTGGAGTGCGTAGCCTACCCCTTCTCCAGGGGATCTTCCCGATCCAGGAATCGAACTCCGGCACTGCCGGAGTGGTCTCCTGCATTGCAGGTGGATTCTTTACCAGTTGAGCCACCAGGAAGTCCCAGTAACATTTATTAATCACTTACTGTGTGCCAGCCACAGGGCTGAATTCTTCAAAGGGTATTAATGATTATAATCCTCATTATCACTGAGCTAGCTGCTATGATTAACCCTATTTTAAAATGAGGATGGAAATGCATAGAAGGGACAAGTAATTTGCCTAAGACCATTAAGCTAGTAAGGAAAACAACATCCCTGAAGGCTTGTTTCCTGCTAAGCACTGCTGCAAACACTAGGTATTAACTCATCTAACCCTCTGGCGGCCCCCTACTCTTGTCCCCACTTTAGATAAGAACACGAGGTGGGAGGAGCCAGATAACTTGCCTGGAGATTGAGCAGAGGAACCAAGCCTCAACTAAGCCTGTCAGACTGACTCTTAACCATTCTGCAGTCTCATGAGATTGTCAAGGTCCCATTTCTCTCCATCCCTCTGTCTGAGGGCCTTTTTTAAATGGTCAGCCAAATGTTGGACAGCTGAGGCTAAGAGCGGTCAGGCAGTTTGAGAGCGCCATCAACTGCTACTCCTCCTTTAGGGAAATGGCCAGCGTTAAAATAAATGGCTGTTAATTACTGATTACCTACTATGTGCCAGGCACCATACTAAGCAGATGATATATAGTATCTTATTTAATTATTGTAACACGCTTGAAAGTGAAGTGTGAGTCACTCAGTTGGGTCCGACTCTTTGCAACCCCATGGACTGTAGCCTGCCAGGCTCCTCCATCCATGGAATTCCCCAGGCAAGAATACTGGAGTGGGTTACCATTTCCTTCTCCATGGGATCTTCCCAACCCAGGAATCGAACCCGTAACACCCTTACGAAGCACGTATTCTTGTTTCCATTTCACAAATAAGAGAGCTATAAACTAGAGAGTAAGAGGCTTGTCCAAGAGCCAGGATTCTAACACCAAAGCCCAAGTCCATTCCAGCCCTCTCCACTCCCTTGCCTCCCTTGACGTGTCTGGCAAAACCCCTGAGAAGCCAAGAAGGTCCACACACCCACTGTCCCCAGGGGCTCCCACCCGACACTCACCGATGGCGCCCAGGGTGACGAGCGGGTTCTGCCGAGGACTGATGTGCTTGTCATAGGGCCGGTTTCCGTACATGTGGGCGACGCTGTTGACCAGCCAGGTGACGTTGAGTGAGATGGTGTAGCGGAGGATGGAGGCCAGGAAGTAGGAGTTCCACAGGCTCTCCCCCCAGATGTACCAGGGCACCAGCGTGGGGACCACGAAGCACATGAGCACCACGGTGATCTTGTAGTACCTGGAAAGAGCAGGAGGCCACGCTGTCACGGGGCACCTGTTGATGGTGGTGGGGCGGTGGTGAGCAAGCTGCAGGGGAGTCAGGAATGATGCCAGTCAGCTCCGTCAGCTCTTGGACCCTGTTGTGTGTCTCTGTACGGGGGTCAAAAACCCATCCACCTACCAAGGCTAGGCAGATAACACCAACTTGAGAATTAGGGCAGGCAGAAGTTATATGAAGTGGTAGGACCTGCGGCAAACTTCAGAATTTCAAGTGTTAAACAATCGATACAGGTAAAACACATGCATCTCAAAGCTACATGTGTCCTACAAGATGCAGTGTGATGGCTTCAATTTCTTTCATCAGTCGGTCAACCCAACAGTCTTTTTAAAAATTTTTTTAACCATAATTTCAAGAAATATCCAATATTCTTTGAATACCTTGCAGGCATGTGAATCTGTTTTAATGTAGCTTGGAAAAAAGGTGAACAACCCTTCCTTAAATGTTCTCTGTCCATCTGCAATTACATTCCAAACCAGCAAAAAAATAAACAAGTATAGGAACAAGCAGGGCCATGTATAAAGCAAAGATTAAAAATAAACCATCAATAGTTTGATTGTTGGACTTGTGTACCCAGCAAGTGTTTCCTGAGTGCCTCCTGTATACCAGGCCCCAAGGGCTAGTGGTACTAAGACAAATTTGACAAGAGTCCCTGCTCCAGTCATGTGAAACCTTTGGCTGTGTGGGACAGGCTCTTAGCAGGGACATCAAGGGGCTATGAAATGAAAATATCCAAAGCTGCCTGTTCCAGAACTTCCCTGGAGGCCCAGTGGTTAAGACTCCACGCTTCCACTGCAGGAGCCACAGGTTCGATCCTTGGTCAGGGAACTAAGATCCCACATGCTGTGCAGTTTGGCTAAAAAATAAACCAACGCCTGCCCCACTCCAAAACAGCAAAGCAAAACAAAGCTGCCTGTTCATAACTGCTTTCTCCTCGGTTTTCCTTCTGCTGACCCAGCTCGTGGGAGGCCTTTGTTAAAAGGTGCATGTATGAACTGGGACGGGCCACAGCTTGAGGAAATGAGATGTGGGAGGTGGAAGAAATCTGACTTGGGTCCAGGTCTGATTCTTCACGGAAAACAAGCCTCTCTTTGTTCTTTCACTCTGTGTACACAGTGAGATGGTTCCCCAAACAGTGCATGAGGCAAGGGCTTGTATGTGGGTAGTTTATTTGGGGAAGTGACCTCGAGTAACAGGAGGGGGTAGCTGGGAAGAGGGAAGTGAAAGGTGGGAAGAGTCAAGCTGTGGGTGCCCACCGCTGCGGGACCTCCATGGGACGCATGAGAGCTCAGAACTCTTCTCTCCAGGAATGAAAAGGGGACTATTTTCCCGTCGGTTCCAGTTCCTCCTTGGTCAAGGGGTCCACGTGGAATGTCAGCTCTCTCACACTTCCAGGTTTGCTTGGGTCAGAATGGCTGAGTGTAGTCACGGGCATCTCAGGTGGGGGCGGCAGAGAGGCCAGGGCAGGAAGTAGGCAGTGTGGCTGGGCACGTTGCTGGCGAGTTACACTTGTGCCGCAGGCAGCTGCAGGCACAGCCGGAGTGAAAAGGCGGGTTTGGGAGTATGAGGTGGGCACCAGAGGTGTCCAACACAGACAGGCAGGAATTACAATACCACATGGGGTGCTTGTGAGGAGCAAATACTAACGCCAGCATGGGGAGCTCAGCCCGGGGCTCTGTGATGACCTAGGGGGACGGGATGGGAGTGAGATGGGAGGGAGGTTCAGGAGTGACGGGATATATGTACACACAGCTGATCCACTCTGCTCTCCAGCAGAGACCAACCCAACACTGTAAGGCAGTTATCCTCCAATTTGAAAAACGCTAATACCTAGTGGATACTATGTGCTTACTATGTGTCGTGGCTATTCTGAGACCCACCCATGTGCAGGTTCATTTAACTCTAACAAATTTAGGAGGAGGGGACCAGTAGTATCCTCATTTTACAGATGGGAAAATTGAACATTTTAAATGTCAAGGTCACAAGGCTAATAAGTAGTGGGACCAAGATTCAAATCCAGGCAGAACCACTTCAGAGACTATCAGGTTATTCTGCTTTGCAAACAAAATCATGTAGGTTTTGCAGATTGCTAGCTGCACGTACAGAGAAGGCAATGGCACCCCACTCCAGTACTCTTGCCTGGAAAATCCCATGGGTAAAGGAGCCTGGTGGGCTGCAGTCCATGGGATCACGAAGAGTCGGACATGACTGAGCGACTTCACTTTCACTTTTCACTTTCATGCATTGGAGAAGGCAATGGCAACCCACTCCAGTGTTCTTGCCTGGAGAATCCCAGGGACGGGGGAGCCTGGTGGGCTGCCGTCTCTGGGGTCGCACAGAGTCGGACACGACTGAAGCGACTTAGCAGCAGCAGCAGCTGCACGTAAGGGTCAGTTCGCACATAATTATCACTGTTTTTATTGGGCAACATATTAATCCATCAGGCTTCCCAGGTGGTGCTAGTGGTAAAGAACCCACCTGCCAATGCCCAGGTAGACGTAAGAGAGAGGGGTTCGATCCCTAGGTCAAGAAGAGCCCCTGGAGGAGGGCGTGGCAGCCCACTCCAGTATTCTTGCCTGGAGAATCCCATGGACAGAGGAGCCTGGCGGGCTGCAGCCCATAGGTTTGCAGAGCTGGACATGACTGAAGAGACTTATCACGCATGCACAGTCACCTATCAGCACCCATTGCGGCATAAGATATGACTGCATTCTAGTGGAAGGAGGGTGTCTGGGAGGTCAGATGAGTGGCTGTAGTTGGAGGGGCAAAGACCACACACAGTGAAGAAGAGATTGCTGGTCTGAGTCTGGGCTCCCAGAGTCCGATGCAGAAGGCTTTTGGGGAGATGCTTGAAGCGAGGAAGGCAGGATGGGCCCAGGGAGAAGCTCATGCACAGTGAGACTTGGCAGACCCCGTGGAGCCGGGTGACTCTTTTGGAGCTCCTTTCCCGGATAGAAAGGTACCGCTGCATCATCCAGCCCCTGGCCTCAGGATGCCTCCTGGCCTGGGTGAATCTGTGCACAAGGGCAACTCTCCCGAAAGGACAGCAGCTGGGGTGAGAGCATCCGCCGAAGAGGGGATCTGCAAGAAGCACGCAGGCCGTGGCCGAGGGTCCTGGGAGCTTGTGGGAGTGTGTGAGGAGGCGGGGGCTCTGACAGGAAGCCCAGAGATGATGGTCTGCGGTGGCTGCTCGTCTTGGACGCCTCTGGGGAGGACAGGAAGCAGCTGAATGTTGTCCGCAGGGCATCCTGCATCTCAGGCGGCTCCTTCCATCCCTCCACTCTGGGTTACAATCCAGTACCTCTGAAAGGAGCCTCTCCAAGTCCTGTTCTTTTTTAAAATGCAGCTGTTTCCTTCCTTCCTTTTGCAGTGTCAGGGCTTAGTTGCCCCATGGCATGTGGGATCTTCATCCCCCAACTAGGGATCAAACCCATGTTCCCTGCATTGCAAGTCGGGTTCTTAAACCACTAGATCGCCAGGGAAGTCCCCCTAGTCCTGTTCTGAGCCACAGTCTGGGACCCTCATTTTGCTCCTGGAAAGGAGACAGAAATCACGTATTGGCAGCTGACTCTGTGCTGGATGCTGGGCTAAGCGTGCCATAGGCTTTCTCTCATTTACTCCTCGCCATGGACTCGGGATGGACACACTCTGTCAATGAGGGCGCTGTGCTGGGGTGCAGAGGGGCTGTGGTTCCCCGGGGAGAAGCCTGGCCCTTGCCATGACTTTCTTGCTTTGCCCCCACCCTATGGAATCCACCGTCTCTGGTTTGACTGCCCCCCACTGGCTTCGGCTTCAGTCTAACCGTCCTTCCTCCTCAGGGGATTTCTATATCCCCCTTGGACAAGGCAGAATGCCCCAGGTTATTGTACTTCTCAGAGAGAAAGGATAATTATAACTTTTGAAAGGGAAATAACAAGTGTTAATGACGATGTAGAGAAACTGGAAACCTTATGCATCACTGATGGGAATGGAAAGTAGTGAGGCTGCTGCTGCAAAAATTAAATGTTTCTCAAAAGGTTAAATATCAAATTAACATATGACCCAGCAATTCCACATCTACATATCTATTCAGAAAGTTGGAAAGCAAGGAATTGAACAGGCATTTGAGCACCAGTGTTCATAGAAACATTATTAACAATAGCCAAAAGGTGGAAACAATCGAAGTGTCCATTAGTAGATTAATGGATAAACAAAATGCTGTCCATCCATACTATGGAGTAAAAAGGAACAAACTTTTGATACAAGTCACAACATGGATGAAACTTGAAAACATGAAAGAAACCAGGCACAGAAAGACAATATGGTTACAATTCCACCTATATAAGGAACCTAGAAAAGGCAGATTCATAGAGAGAGAAAGTAGAATAAAGGTCACTAGGAACTGGGAAGGAAGAAAAAAGAAAAAGCAATACCTATTGCTTCATAGGTATAGGGTTTTTTGTTTTGTTTTGTTTTGAGAGTGATGAAAAAGATTTGAGTATAAAAGTGAGGATAGGTATACAACACTGTGCTATGTGCTAAGTCACTTCAGTCATGTCCTACTCTTTGTGACTCCATGGACTGTAGCCCACCAGGCTCCTCTGTCCATGGGGATTCTATAGGCATGGGGATTCTACTGGAGTGGGTTGTCATGCCCTTCTCCAGGGGATCTTCCAGACTCAGGGATCGAACCTGGGTCTTCTGCATCGGCAGGCGGATTCTTTACCACTATCGCCACCTGGGAAGCCCGCGTACAACACTGTGAATATACTTAAGGCTACAGAATTATACACTTATGAGTGGTTAAAATAATAAATATTATGTTGTGTATATTTTACCTCAATTAAAAAAAAGAGACTGATGAAGCAACATTTTCCTTGATAGCAGAACGGGCTCAGAGGGAAAGATGGTGTCTCTTTTCCTCACAGAGTCTCCTGGACCTGCTCCAGTCACAACCCTTGCAGTAGTCACAGGAAAAAGGT